AATGAGGCAGCGAAGGTTCACAGGGGGAAATGTTTCTCAGCAGGAAAAAGTGATTTCCCTTTCAACACAACCTGCACCGCAGGGGGTTGTACACAGCTCCGCTGCATACGCCTCCAATGCAAAGACGCTTCCGCCTCCCGTCGCAGCCGCCCGACATTTCCTGCTTCCTGTTCGGCCTGCCGCGGGGCGCCGGGGAGGAGAGCGGGCGGCGGCGATAATCATGGTCACATCTGGCCTCAACTAATTTCTGTTCCACACAAGTTTGCAGCTTTTTCCTCCCAATAACATAACCTAATTAAAAAAATAAAAAAATCAGGGATTGGAGGCACGCTCATTTCCAATTCATCAGCAGGAGCGAAGCAAACCCAGACTTCTAAAAAGGTTGGGTCTTTTTTAATTAAAATCAAAATTGCCCCACGCCACTTTCAATTATATGTTTACTGGAAATGGATCCAAGCGGAGGTGATTACACAAACCCATATGGCTATCAGTAACTCGCATTATTAGACACACTTCTGGAGTATTAGACACACTTTCCACCTCCAACAAATTTAAACATCCCACAGGCAAAGGTGTGATGGGAGCTTTCTTTAATTTATCTTCAAACTCGCAAACTTTTCTGCTGCACATAGACTTCTGAGTCACTTATCTTTAATTGTTTCTTACATTAAATAAAGAAAACACACAAATTAAAACTTTTCTTTAATTTTTATGCTCATCAAGGCTAAAAAAATGTTGTTTAAATTAAATCAACCCGACTCCTTTGAGGACTGAAAACTTTAGAGCTAACCAAGAAAAAGTGGAGGATAAATATTATTTCCTCTTCTTATTCAAACTTTTAGGATTCACACTAAACATCTAAATAGGAAAGGTGAGACATTTACAGTTTAAAGTTTACAAACATTAAGTTTTATTTCAGTTAGTGTGTTATTTTATTAATGAAGCAAACAGCAATGAACTATAAAAAATAACATTTGAGATTGTTGAATTATCCACACAAGGTCAAATAAAGCTCAATATATAAATTACAACTATTTGGCTCAATGTTAAATAATAGTTGGGTTGAAGAGCAAAGAATACAGAATAATATAAATAATGACAGATAATTTTATAAATGGTTTAATTAAGAAAATGAAAAAATAAAATGGTAATACTGGTAAGTTTTTGATTTTTTGCAGCCACTTTATGAAAGAGCATGGCAGCTGAAAAAATTCAACACGCTAATAAAAGTTATAAAAGTGAAAAACTTAAATACAAAGTGCGGCTGCCTGCTCTCTGTCCCACTGTAACGTCGCCTGCAGAGCTGATTAGCTAGCTTGGATAGTTAGCCGATTCCAAGCGACGCGCAGTGAGAAGAAGTGGGATATTTTGTTGTTAGGATCTACAAGCTGAAGGATAAACGGTGTGGGTGAGGGCCCAGACTGGAGGCGTCCAAGGTCGTCCTCCAGGCATCCTGCTTGTCTCAGGCCTGCGCCTGGCTCAGCACACCTGGATCAAATGATGGCTCGTTAGCAGGTCTCTGCAGAACATCGACATGCAGAGGAAGAAGTAACTGCTAAAACATGCAGCATGCCGAACCCTGGAGACTGACTTTGGACTCCGCTGTGCTGAAGCATTCCTTCATTTCACCAAGACGCTGCAATGAGGCGTCTTGGAGTTTCACAGCCTTGAGTCACAGCAATCACTGAAAACAGCGGTGTCAAACTTATCTATGTTTTGGGTCAAATCAAGAGCCTGAACGCTCTTAAAGGGCCGGTTGTTCCAGAATGTATTGATCAAACCTGATCACAAAATGTTAAAATATCAATGAATTCTTAAAATTTCACATTACTGAACATCTTTTCAGTTCCTCCACGATTTTGTGATACTTTCTGTGATTTCTTTTTATAATAAATATCAAGCTGTTTGTACTACTAATTTCAAAATAATGGCACTTATTTTGCGACTTTTTATACAGATCATTGACTACAATCTGACATCAGTTAAGGCTGAAGCAGCTGTTTAGTACAAGAAAGAAAGTTTTTGACAATTTTTGAGAAAAATCTGCAATAAACTCCTTGTTATGTTTCAGTGTAAAAAAGTGCAGGGATTTGGTGATTTTGGGTGAATTTCCACTATAATTCTCAAGAAACTGGAGGGACTGATTGATATAATTTGGCAGTAAAGAGATAAAAACTGCATTGATTTGACTGATAACATAATGTTTAAGCACATTTAGTGTTTAGTCTAGAATCTAGAGGGCCATATAAAAAGCAATGCGGGCCAGATTTGGCCCACGGGCCTCGTGTTTGACGCACAACTTAAACAAATGTTAACCATTTAACACTGATTGAGTCATGAAGAAGAAGTGGTTAGCAGCTAACGTTGATATGTGTTTTGAAATTACAGCGCATACAGAAGTAAAACCAGCCTACCAAATGTGGTGGAACTCAGCCTGGGTTGCTAGGTAACGGGCGGAATTCCACTGGGGTTGCTAGGTAACGGGCAGAATTCCGCTGGGGTTGCTAGGTAACGGGCAGTGACTGCTAATTTGTGATGTTCTGTTCCGGAAGTCACTTTCCAGACACCGAAAAACAATAAGCTAATGCCAGAAATGAGTTGTGTGATGTTTTTAAGCACTTGGACTATTTTTTAGAAAACGTAGAACCCCAAATGGAAGTACAAACCCATGAAAATTGTGAATTTTGCGCAATACATTCCTGTTTACACTTTTGTAAATGCGTAGGATTTGCCAAAAGGTAATTTTTTGATCTCTTCTACATGGACAATGGGTCATTTGTCTTGGCAAAAACAAACAAAACAAGGTTAAAATGACTTAATGACACACATTTTGTCAATAAATAGAATCAGTACAGAGAGTAAATCCAGAACAAAGGAAACCAGAACACAATTATTATAAAAAGTACAAGAAATGTGGACATAATGTGAGAAGGAAGCCATCTTTGTTTGGTGAAATGTTTCTTTTTGTGTGTGTGATTTGGTTGTTGGGTTATTGTCGCCTGTCAGTCGAAAATATTGTCTCTTAAATTGCGAGTTGTTGAAATCCATAGGAGTTCATCTTTAGCAGACATCTGCTTTATAATTTGAGTCAAAATACTTAGCATAAAGACAGAAATATTGTTTTAAACAAAGCAAACATTGCTTCATACAGAACATTTAACTATGCATATTTATTTCAGTGTATTAACACGTCAGCTGAGTTAAAGTGGTTTTATTCCAATTAAAACACATTTTATTTTAAAAAATAATTATAATTCTAGCTTTCCACTGTGACACATATTCTGCTGCTCAGCCAGACTAAGAATCATGAAACACTCAGCTGACCATATGGACTGTTAATTAAAATGTTAAGCATATGGAGACTTTAATTTGTGGTAGCTATTTAAACTAAATGTTCAGCTTTTACTTTATGAAATTACATCATGTTTATTAGCTGAAGCTCCAGGGGTTCTGCCAAGAAAAACACAATGTTCAAAATATTCTGCTACACTACGTCTCAGATACATCAAACCAAACGAGTGCCAGAAGTTAAAAGAACAAACCGAGCAAATACATATGTGTTTCTGGATGAACCATCTGGGAGCAAAAGGATTTTATTTAATTGTTCTTTCCATATAAACTCCACATATCTTTGCCTTTACTCTCAGTTTTTGTGTTCTGTATAGAGAATTGCAGCAAAGCTTAACTGTCAAATATTTAACTAACTCTAAACCAAATGATCACTTTATTTCCAGAGTTTGATGACAGTGTGGAGATAATTCAGTCATTTCTTCAGCTGTTTTGCAGTGAGTCTCCATTACAAATGTTAGTTTTGTGGAAGTGTGAAGTTTGACTGATTTTTTTCTCTTTTTCTGTTGTGACTCAGTTAAAAAAATCTGATATATCCACAAAACTGTGACCCAAACTGCATTCTTATTGTATAAGTTTCAAATCTCTGCCTGGATATTTTTGCTTATTTTAACTCGAGGAAGTTCTTTAAATGTCCTGTGAGTAAATATTCTTGCCCATTTCTCCATAACAACTGGAACTTTCAATATCTAGCATGTAATTTTCACAATTTACCAACTACTAAGAGTCTTTCATCAGATTAAACCGAAGAAAAACACGCTTCCTGCTACAGCGCGGGTGAAATTACCGTAATAACCCGATTCTGGCTGGAAAGTGCAACGTCTCCCCTTTCCAAAACTGTAGGAATTTTTCAGATAGTGCAAAGTATCGCAGAGTAACGGTACTGCTTGTAAAACTGCAGTACACAAATATAACCTTCAAGATAACAGTTGTGTGCTTAAATATTGTTTCGTTAATCAAATCAAAGTGTTTTTTATGTTACCTGGTTTTACTGTAATCAACATATCAAGTTTTTTTGTGCTAATTCATAACTAAACTTATTGAAAATTTTCCAGAAAAATGGTTTGAGGTGATGCCAACTCCAACCTGCAGGTGGCAGCATATTTTACTTCTACACTTCTGCCTTACTGCATGTCAAGTTCTAGTCAGTGATCGGTTATTTGAAAGTAATAAAAAGTCGCATCATCATACATGAGGGCAAATATTGCAAAATTTGTTGCAAATATTTCTAAATTAACAATTTATAGTGAAAATTATTATTAAAAAGATAAAAAATTGCAAAATCCTGACGGGATTGATTGACGTGAAAAACTGTTATATATGATTTAATTGTAAGAAGAACTTATCAAATGCAGAGACGGTTCTAACCATTTGTTTATTGGGTTTATCGGTACATTTAAGCACCACCGGCCCTTTAAGAACCTTAAGAAAACAAGGTTTTCATGCATCTTACCGAAAAGTTAGTTTTAAGGTAGTTTTGTCTTGTTTTGTCAAGTTTTCTAAGATATTCCCACTTAAAACTTGACAAAAATACTTGGTAAGGTTTTGACCTTAAGATCCCAAACGACGACAGATTGTTTTTTCTTTCCTTGAAATCACTTGAACTAACATTATTCAACACTTATCAGCTAGAATAAGAACATATCGCCAACCATTTGAGCTAAAAGTGAAACTGTTGATGACCTCTTCCATTTCCTTATGATTGACGTGGGGAACGACGCCGCTTTGATCTGGACACAAAAGACAAAAAAAAACAACTTTTTTTATTTATATATTTATATATTCCATGCGGGTAAGCGGCGTTGGTCAGCCTGGACTTCAAAACCGCTTTCATCTCGATAAACACTGACAACAAACGACGGGGAAGAAGAAAGGATATCGTCCAAGTGACAACAACAGAAACAACTTTGCAAAGACATGGCGGAGATGAAAACGCATCGTCAGTGACAAACTTTATCTGTCTTGGCTCTTCAGAGGAAACTGATGTTTGAGCAAGTGATAAATACAGCTGCACAGCACAAGAAACCAAAAACGAACAAATCACAAAAAGCGAAACAAACACACGCAACAATAAGGCAGAATAAACAGGAGCATTTCGCAATTAAGAGGGCAACTTTAAACAGTTTTCCCTGTGAGTCACTCAAGTTATTTCTACTGACAGTCGGCTTGAATTCATAAGAAAAACAGTTGTCACACTGAAGATAATGTTTGCCGTCTTTTCATGGTTTCCAAGTAGTAAAAGCTGTTTCATAGTGAGGAAAACAAATAAAAGCTTTCAGTTCCACTTCTACTATCCTCCTCCGGCAAATTGTCGGGTTTTTTTCTCCCTTTGATGCAAAATTGATGCAGCTCAAAAAGAGAGATTTTCTTTATATTCCAACTCTTTTCTTTCTTCCCCTTGTCAAATACTGAAGCCATTTTAGCTGCAACACATCTCAGCAGCTGACGGTTCATCTGGACTCTTGGCAGAGCTTTATTAGCAAATGCTATCGTTTCCTTCAGAACTTGGAAACAAGCGTGCCGTTCTGGAGAGCTCTTGGTTTTGTAATTCCTCTAACAGATTTCCCCTTTCATGACATTTTAAATAAAAATCGCTGTCCTTAGCTTACACTGCCTCACAAAAGTATTCACACCCCCACAACTTTACAGAAATGAAACGCTATCAAAATTCACGCTCCTGTCGGTTAAAGGTGTTTAAACAGAGAGTTCAAAAAACCTGCTCATTACATTTATTTGCACGAAATAATTCTTAGATAATGAGTTGTTTTAGGAGGTCTTGTCACTTTAAATCCAAATAATCTGCTGCTGGCCACAATGGAAGTATAAAAATGTGAAATCTTGCATCACTGGCCACCTTTAAAATCATACAAACTACAACTCTGTCCTTCCGTTCGTAAAACTGTCGATGTTTTCTGCTATAAAATCATATTGCTGGGAGAGAAATAATAATAAATGTCCCATTTTCTGCAGTCAACAACATGTCACCCTGTGACTCAGTAAAACGTTCAGCAGCACAAACTCTGTGACCTCGTTGAACGGTTAGTCTTAACCGACTGGTTTTCCAGAGCGACTCAGAGTCCAGTTGCAGCAGCGAGTGCAGTGTTTCACTGAGGGAAGCCTTCCTTTGGTTTCTTCTTTGTTTTGCTTTGAGTGGAGCAGAGAAATGCTCCAGCCGTCTGACTCCATTCATACAAAACTTAAAACTTTCATCTCAAGCCGGCAGTTTGCTCTGAAGGTCACCCAGCACTTTCAAACAGCAGCTCTGACCAGGAAAGGTCATTTTTATTTTCCTTAGTAATAAACACTTTCTGAAAATGTACAATACTTGCTGGTCACGTCAAATCAGCTCATTATTTTTGTTCCTTTCCCTCCCCAATCTCATGGGATTAAAGGTCTTCAACATGAAAAGTAAATTACAATCTGTCGGTTTGATTTCAGAGGAACGAATTATTTCATTTTTGTCGACACAAACTTCATGGTAAGTCATCACAAGGTTTCAGGTTCAGCTTCTCTCACTCAGAAAATAAATCCAGCTGGAAAAGAAAAACCCTTTTCCATCCCTAAGCTTAATTAGTCTCTGATTGAAACAGAAGTTCAGGACCTGGAAAACTTGGCAGAAACTGAACCCAGAGCTGAAAGAAACGAAGCCAAAAACGAAAGAGGAGAGACGGAAAGAGGGAGAGACCTCTGTCATGGTGAGCGGATCGTTGACAGGAAAGGTGGTGCCAAACCGAGAGAAATCTTAATTAATGTTACTAGATAACGAATGCACCTGATCTTCCTCAGTTCACACACTAACCGTCTTCTTTAGTACAATTTGTATCGGATAAAATACACTGTTGGCTTTTTCCCTCGGTGGAACAATGAAAAATTAATCACAAAAGGGGGGAAAGCTGATTTGCAATTTAAATTACTCAACACTTCCTGGCAATTAATTAGTCTATAGGAGTAAGTGAGGGTACAAACAAGAATTTTCACACCGTGTTTCCACTTGTGCAAGCGATTTTTTTTTTTTTTTTTTTTTTTTGCATATATAAGATCTAATTTTATTCTATTTCTTGCAACTTGTCTCTGATAGGGAGCAACTAATGCCGAGTAATCACACAGTGAATCAATTTAGGAGAGCATGACGATGCTGTCAGCAGTGCTAACAGCCTCACAGCTTTCTAAGTAGACCCAGATGACACTTAACCAGAATAAAGCTAAGAGTCTGTTTTCTCCCCAACCCTTTCATGAGAAACATCAAGAGCAAAGCGACAGCAGGAAAGCAGACATAACAACTCTGCGAGACGGAGAAGATGTGTGATAATCATAGGACTCCCTCTGAACAACTGTCTTCAAACGGCTCAGTTGTCATGGGAATCCAGAGAGTGCAAACGGGAGGAGAGAAGAAGAGGTGATCATGCACATTATGTAGTAAAAATAAACAGTATTTCATTACAACTGCACTTTGCAACAGCTCCACTTGTTGTAGCGAAAATTAAGGGATAAAGTAGGACGTTAACGAAGGTGAAGTGTTTCACAAAACAGTTTTTGGTGGCTAGTTGGGCTCAATTAGCACCTCATAATTTCAACAGAAAGGGAAGGAGTGCTCACCGATGGGCAGATCAACGACGTGTGGAGATAATAAAACGCTATTCGTCAGCAACAAAGAGGCTGATCCTACAAATCTAAAAACGAAGCAGCTTCCTGGTGAGAACGGGACCTGAAGAAACGTTTCAGGGAAACTTAAAACGTGTTTCCTCTGAGCGCAAAGCTGAGGCGCCAATAACATGTTGGTTTGTTTTATCACATAAGATTTTTCAGACAGTCATATCATCTTTGACCATTAGGTTGAAATGATGTGATCGGTTATTTGGTGTGAGACACTCAGTAATGGGCAACTTAGTAAACTAAACCAGCAGCTGGACCTGCAATTACATGGAAGAGGATCAGGGCCACGGAAAAAGAGAGAAATGGTCAAAAGTCAGAATTCTGACAAAGAAGTCCAAATTCTAAGAAAAAAAAAATTCTAAAAAAAAGTAAAAATTCTGAGAAGAAAATTAAAAATTCTAAACCAAAATTAAAAATTCTGAGAAAAATGTAAAAATTCTAAGAAAAAAAAAGTAAAATTCTAAAAAAAATGTAAAAGTCTGTTTTGTGAGTAGAAGTTTGGTATTTTATCCTCCGCTTCTCTTTGTTTTTAATTCATTTACATATTTAAAATCTTAAAATTTACAACTTGATCTCGACTAGTATCAAGGAAAAGCCAAGTGTGATTAGAGGTAACCTTAGTGCATTTGGAAAATGATCCAAATTCACTAGAAATACAAAAACAAAAAGGTATTTCTGCAGTTTCTTCAACAGACCCGATTAAACAGCAGCAGGAAGTGTCACAATAAGAACTAGAAGAACGTAGAAGTCAAAATAAAAGAGTTTCCAGAGGAGGATTGGGGGAAAAATCCAACCGTTGGCAGTAATTACCCACAATGTGGCAACGAAAGAAGAAAATGCAAAAACACACCAAGGAAGAACGAAGATAGGAGGGAAAAATCAGACAAACACCTGAAGGAAATAAATCTGGATCATCAGAAAACATTCCAAGAATTTCCCTGGAGAGACGGGAAAACAGATCCGGGAAGAAAAACACTCACTGTTTATTTGTTTATCTGCGCTTTCGTGACAACAACCTAATTTAATTACAGATTATGAGTGAAAATGCTTGTTAAAAGTCCAAAGTGCTGCACCAGAATTTGTTCTGTGGGGATTTTCATTTCAACGTCCATCTGAATTTGAAAACAGACAAAAAAATCATTCTTTCATTTTGAAATTATTACTAATCCTTTCCAAACTAAACCAGTTAAGAAAAACCACTCTTAACATTTTCTGCAAGAGACAGACACAAAAAAAAGACAGAAAAGCATCAAAATAATTCAGACCTGCTGCAAGACAATACTAAATATTAAAAATAGATAAATAAATAAAATGAAACAATAAAAAACACACAAGTAAAACAAAATAAATAAAAAAACAAGGAAAATAAGTAAAATGAAAACACCAGAAAAAATAAAACACAGGAAAATATGTTCATCTCTGAAAGGAAAGAAGCAAATCCTGATTTTCTCCGAAATCTCTGAAATATTCCTGAAAAGTTACTTTGAAGTTAGTTTTGTCTTGTATAGAAACCAGCCCAGGAATACTTTGTCTGCATTAATTACTCCTCCAGCGTCGCAGGCCTAAACAACCAAACCGTCCGGCTGAAGGAAATGAGCCGCTTAGTATCGCGCAGTTCTTTTGAAAAGCATTCTCCTCCATGAATCTGAACGCTCTGACAGCGCTGGGATGAAGATTCATCATTCTAAGAGCTGCTTGGTGAAAACTGGACCGCAGCGCAGCTAGCAGCGAAGGTAAAGAAAAGAAGCAATAAATTTAGTGTGTTCTGTTCAATGCATTCAGTATGAGAAAAGGTAGAGAGCGGAGGAGGCCGGGCCAACTCCATTCCACGCCACCGATCCATGGCTGCTTTCAGAAAGGTGAGCCAGATGAGGAGAGAGAGAGCAGCCCATTTATATTCATTACAGAGAGACTGTCTGCTCTCACTCCGGCCGCCGTCTCTCTGTCACACACACCTCAACTCTCCGGTGAGTCCGACGAACCAAAAGACAGATTCAGCTTCTTCTGCATAAACAACGGCTAAGCGGGGCGGTGCTGCTGCAGAGCTGGGCGGGTTGCTGCGACCCGAACAGCAGATG